ATGCCCCCATTGATTCCCCCATCGATACCCACTGTATCCAAATTCTGATTTCACAATTATCTTCGTCTCGTCGAGATAGGCGATTTTCATATATTATATGTTAAATTCCGCCTTCCGGATTGGGAGATATCGTCGTTTCTTTGTGGCCAACCATTTTGAATATGATTTCTTTTCATATTAGATTTTTGATTTTCTCCGGCTTCTATAGGCTACTCGGTTTGATTCTGGGCTTCAATAAAATGTTACAAAATGAAGAAGTTGGAGTCTTTTGGGCTTTTATTCATTATTTCTTCATTAACCTGCAATTAAAGATAAAAATAATTATTAGTGGTATATTTATTAATGTAAAATAGATAATGATGATATAAAATTGTAATAAAAATATGATTATCAAAGTCTCTTTATGGTTTGAAGCAATCGCCGCGCCAGTGGTACAAGAGATTCGACAGCTTCATGATTGGCCATGGGTACACAAGGAGCCCATATGACCCATGTGTTTACATGCACAAGCTACAGGATGATGAGCACATATATTTACTTTTATATGTTGACGATATGCTTATTGCTTCCAGGAATTATTTGGCTATTCGAAAGTTGAAAGAAGACATGTCATTCGAGTTCGAGATGAAGGATCTTGGAGAAGTAAAGAAAATATTAGGTATGGAGATCGATAGAGACAGGGTGAAGGGGAGATTGAAGCTTACACAGAGGAGTTACTTGCAGAAGATGTTGAAGAAATTCAGCTTTGATGGTAATGTAAAAGCAGTTAGCACTCTATTGGCTCCCCACTTCAAGCTTTCAGCTAATATGTCACATGTTTCAGTTGAGAATATAGATTATATGTTGAAGGTTCCATATGCCAGTGCAGTGGGTAGCTTGATGTATGTGATGGTGTGTACGAGGTCAGATTTGTCACAGGCCGTGAGCATTGTATTAATGTCTATGCACGACCCCAGGAAGGGTCATTGGGAGGCCGTGAAGTGGATTCTACGATATGTTAAAGGCACCGTGGATGTTGGATTGATTTTCCAGAAGAGTGAGAAGAATGGGTAGGATTGTATTGGTTATGTGGATTCAGACTATGTGGGGGATCTTGACAAGCGTTGGTCTACTTCAGGATATGTGTTTACATTGGCAGGAGCACCGGTTTGTTGGAGATGTACCATTCAGTCTACAGTTGCTTTTCTACTACAGAGGCGAGGTATATGGCGATGACTAAAGCTGTTAATGAGGCTTTGTGGTTGCGTGGACTGTTGGAGGACTTGGGGATTGCACATAAGACCCTTCGGGTATATTGTGATAGCATATCGACTATCTATTTGGCGAAGAACCAGGTTTATCATGCACGCACGAAACACATTGATGTCAGATTCCACTTTGTTCGTGACGTATTGGATGATGGAGACGTCATATTGGAGAAGATCTATACGAAGGACAACCATGCAGATATGTTGACCAAAGTTGCTTCAAGTATGAAATTTGGTCATTGTATGAAGGTATTGAACATTCTTCAGTGTTGAGGGCCTTTGGAGGCCATTTGGGTGAACTACGTTCGGCTTGATTCCTTGGACAAGATGATACGTAGGCAGTCTTGTTTGATGCAGCCGGTTGGATTTGTTAATTTTGATTGGGGGGGTGTTTGAGCTCTCGTTTGGGTTCCCAGCTTGTTGTGGATTGAGTCCGTTGAAGTGGGTTGTTTTTACTTCGTCCTGGACGCAACAAATAGGACAGTTGGATGTTTTGGTGTCGGCTCAGTTTTAGTAGAAACGTCCGCCGAGGTAGAGAATTGAAGAAATGGCGAGCACAATGACAAAGACCGCAGGAAATGAGACAAAAGAACAAGTTTGGGTGCTGTGCGGTCGACCGTGTATGGCGTGGCGGTCGACCGCCAACGTGCACGAGGCTGAGTTCGGTTCTGTATCAGGTCATGGTCGACCTCCCGTAGCGCGGTGGTTGACCACAAAAGTTTAGAGACTCTGGAAAGTTTCTGTCGTTTTCGCTGTCGACCGCGCGTGGTTCTACGGTCGACCGCGAGTCGAGTTTGCAGTTGAGTTTTGTTTTCTCACCCATTTCGTTCTGAGTTGATATATAATCTTAATCCTAATTAATTAGGGTTAAGCAAAGACGTTTTGAGCAATCTTTGAGAGGGGATTGCTACATCCAATTGTAGGAGAGTTATGAGGGATCTAGAGGTTTTGTTTTAGAGTTTATTTGGTAAGATTTGTAACCATATTTGTATTCTCTTGATTTTTAATAGTAATAACCCCCTGCCCCTGGACGTAGGTGCCGAACCACGTAAAATTCGTTTGTCTTGCTGTGGTATTATGTTTGGCTTATTGGTTGTGATTTATCTCGTTCTTGTTCATGTGGTTTCGAGCTTCCGCCGCACACAACACTCTTCTGTACAGAAACAACCTGATGTTAGTAGAGAAAAAACGATCACAGAGAGAGGAACTCTTGAGTTCCTTCTGTACAGAAACAGACAGATAATAGTAGAGGGGAAAAAATGAGAGAGAGGGAGAGAGGGTGCAGGATCAGTATATAAATTTGAAATCTAACTTTAATAGCTTGATTGCAGTTTAGTAAATGCTAATTCCTTTTCTTGATGTTGTCCACTATATTCTTCTAGGATTTTTCATGTGTGTATATATATATACATATTACTGATATTAGGAAGTAGTAAGCTAGATTAATTGGCTCATCAAATTCATGATTGGCACTGTAGATCTTGTTTAGCATATCATCAAATGTATATTATAATATTTTCACATAATTTGGAGTCTTCTGTAACATGAATCAAACTAGTTTGATATATCGATTTTTCAGGCATCTTAACAATCGTCCCTTATACACATTGCTAAAACAATGATTAAAAATTTCAAAACAATATAATTTTTTCTATATATAGATCATGATGAGTGTAAGATATCGATCATCATTAGTTCACCATGTCACTTTATCATATACCCCCACCCCCAAATTCATGCGTATTTGCAAAACTACCCCTTAATCTTACTATTTGAAAATTAATTTATCTCCAAATCATCATCTTTGGG